ACCTCTGCACACCCCTGCTGGGGCTGTATGAATGATATATAATCTAGTAAGATCGATTCTTTGTTGATGCCAGTGAGCAGTGTGCAGCTTCTTTGTGATTCTTCAAGCGGATCCTGGGGCTGCGGCTGGGGGGGGTGGATGAATGGGGGGTTGTTCTTTTTTGCTTTTTTGGTTCTTTTTTGGTTCTTTTTGTTTTTTGGTTCTTTTTTTGGTTGTTTGGTCGTTTGGTTTTGTGTTGATTTGATGTGTGGTGTGGGGTTTGGTTCTGGGTTGGGTTGTATGGTATGGATATTTTGTATTGTATGTGTATGTGTATTGTGTTGTGTTGTGTGTATGTATGTATATATGTATGTATATACGGGATATATATATGGGATATGAGCGGGGGGGATATTTTGGTATTTGGGACAATATGGACAAATCTGTTGTTGTTGTTGTGGGTTAGTTTTATTTTATTTTATATTTAATTTGACAAATTATGGGATTGCAACTATATGAAACATAATATGAAATAATGACAAGGAGTTGTGAAAATAGATCTCATTGTTTTCTTTTTGTCATTTCCATGCATCGGGTATATATATACACTCACACACACACACACACATATATATATATAAGCCCCTGTTTTTCTCTCCCCTCCCCCATCCTCCATCCCCATACAAACCCCGCACCAGCACCTCCCTCCAAAGACTACCATACCCATATCATATATCCCACCATAGACACCATCACTTCAACCACGAATCATCCAACTCCCCAATCTCCACATCCCCCAAAAAGTCGCCCGCATGTCCACCCCCGCCGCCGTCGCCGCCGCCGCCCCCATCCCTACCCCCATCTCCACCACCCACAAACAAATCATCAAAACTCGCTCCCTCCGCGTGTGTCGGCGGCGGCAGGTCGTCCATGTTGATGTCCATCCCTCCTCCTCCTCCTCCTGCTGCTGTTGAACCCGCATGCGGCATATTCATGCCCATATTCATGCCCATACCCATACCCATACCCATACCCATGTTCATGTTCATGAAGAAGGTGTTATTGTCGATGTCCTGGTTCTGATTTTGCGTCTGGTGGTGTTGGTGTAAGGCACCCGCACCAGCGGTATCAGCGGCGCCAACGCCAACGCCACCGCCTAACCCCTCAAAACCAAACTCATCTACCGAGACGGCGCTGGCGTAGCTTTCTAGGCCGGGTAAGAGGGACAAGAGGGGGTTGCTGGGGGGTGGAGTATTATTATTATTATTATTGTTATTCTTAGGAGTAGTGCTGGAATTGGGGTTCGGGTCTGGGTTCGGGTTGGGGTGATTATTATTATCATTATCGGTATTGTTAGTGTTGTTGTTGTTGTTGGTACCAAGCCCCAGAAAAGCCTGGTTCTCAGCTTCGTCGTCGTTATTGTTGATGGTGGTGAGGTCGTCGGCGGTGAAGGATAGGGGGATGTCGAGGTTGTTTTTGGCATTGCTGTTGTTATTGTTATCTGCGGGAGTGGAAGTGGGCGGGAAGAGTGAGTCGAAGGTCATTGAGTCCATGGCGGGATGGGGGTGGGGGTGGGCGGCTGTGGTTGTAGCGGGGAGAGGTGGTGGCGCAGACGCAGACGACGACGGCTGCTCCCCCAGACGGCCCCCGGCCTTCGACCCGTTCGACGACACTTGTTGCTGATTCTGAGTTTGATTTCGCTTTTGCGGCTGCATTTGAACAGCCGCAGAAGACTGTTCCTGCTGCTTGGAAGGGGCAGCAGCAGTAGCAGTAGTAGAAGCCGGAGCCTGCGACGTCACAATATCATTACTCGCCATTCCCTCATCCTTTGCCGCATGCATAGTAGCAGCAGCAGCATTATTATTACTATTCTCATCTCCCAACGCACCACTCTTCAGCCTCAGGAGAGACTTGCGTCGAAGGGCGGCGTCATAGTCGCGCTCGAGGAATGCTTTGGCGATATACTGGACACGTATTAACATTAATTAGCATTGGTATTTGTATTCGGTAGCAAACGATCACAAAAGGATAGAGGATAGAAGAGAATGGATAGGGCTATATAACAAACATACAATCTGCTCCGACAAGTCATCCAAAGCCTGCTGGAAGTGTTCGTGGGCGAGGGGCAGGGTGCGTTTGAGCTGCGTGCGCGATTGCATGGTGGAGCCCGATGACCGGAAGAAACGGCCTGTCTCGATGAGCTGGTGTAGGGTTTTGAGAAGTCAGCTTGGTGTAGGTTTTCTGTTATATATATATATATATATATAAGATATATATATATATTGTATAGGGAAAGGAAACTGGATTATATGTACTGTCTGGTTGACCATGGCCGTCAGAGTGTCCAGTGACTGATCGCGGGACTGCTGCAACCGCGATTGCGACTGGGATCCGGGTAGAGTGGCTGACATGGTTTCGTAGAAGAGGTTTGGTCTTTTCGGGGGAGATAGAATACGAAAATTCGGGGTCGTCTTCTGAGTCGTTTATATAGATATTATTGTATGTACTCCGTATTGAAGACAGAGGCGGGGGGGTTTATGTTATAGGGCTTCGCAGAGGGCAGACAAGCCAATTAGCTACGCTACGGGTAACTATTGGACGCGAGTGTTAGTAGAGAGGGCGTCCAATCCAGGCCATCATTGGCACTTACCCCTTTTAAAGCGATGGATGACAGATGTATGGATGGATATCAGGAAGGGTTGGTTGGGGTATCATAAACAGCAAAATTGAACCACAAATAGTTCTTGGAGTCAAATCAACCATGCAAGATTCAAGGTTGAGGAGGAGGAGGAAGGAGGAAGGAGGCTCCGGCGCAAAAACGGGAGCTGGAGCTGGAGCTGGAGCTGGTTGGTTGGTTGGTGGGTTGGGAGGGAAGGAAGGGAAGGGAGGGAGCCCAAGCCCACAAGACGCTAGTCTAGCGCCCTTTTTGGCTTTTTGGTTTTTTGGTTTTTCGGGGCCCGGGTTGGGTGGGTTTCGATGGTATTTTTTGTATTTTGTGGGGCGAGACTGATGAGAGAGACCGAGTACGCTGTAGTAGTAGTATAGTAGTAGTATAGTAGTAGTATGCAGCGTAACTTGTAAGTAAGTGAGCACACACCGACACACAGACAAGCGACACAGCATCCATAGTTATGTACAGTACAAATGAATGCAAGTATACAAGCTCCCTCCTTTAGCATTTCATGATGTGATGTGGCCCTGTACAGCGTAGTTTTTTTCTTTTTTTCTTTTTTCCATTTTTTTTTTTTTCCCCCCCTAAAGTCTCAGCTCCTGTGAAGCTATTATTAATAACAGCCGCTATAAGTGAACATACAATAATAGCTATCTAGGCAGCCAGCTGGTTACAGCGTAGCTCAACTCAACAGCTCAACAAACAGCTCTAGGGCTGCACTCACCGGGATGGGAGAGTCTATACTTCACCCGGTCCAATGAGTCAGCAACTGCAGTGTGATACCACTAGCCTCATCCAGCTAGTCTCATCACACTGCAGCTGCTGGGAACTGCGCAGATGGAGCCACTCGGCAACAGTAGCCGCGGAGTATTATAGAAAGCGAAAGAGCGGACGAGACAGAACCAAGGTTTGGCGAAGTTCCCCCCGTTGAGCTGGTTAACTTTTGACTTGGGGGGGGGTCTCTTTATTATTATTCCCCAAGCACCAACCACCAACCATCAACCAACCCCTAACCCAACCACCAAACCATCCCCATCCCCATCCCCATCCCCATCCCCATATTCCCATATTCCCATATTCCCATCCAGCTCCTTGTCTCCTTCTCCTCCTCCTTCCTCCTCCTCCTCCTCCTCCTCTTCTTCTTCTTCTTCTTCTTCTTCTTCTTCTTCCTTTTGCTGTCTCTTTCCTCTCTCTCTCTTCTCTATTCTCTCTTCTCTGTCTGTGTGTCTCTGTCTGTCTGTGTTTCTGTCTTGTTCTTGTGTCTTTGGCCTGTTCTCTTGTTCTGTCCTGTCTGTGGTGTGTGTCTCTTCTCTTCTCTTCTCTTCTTCTCTTCTTCTCTTCTTCTCTTCTTCTTCCTCCTCCCTCCATCTCCGTCTCTTCTTACTCAGCCGTCCTCCTTTCTCCACCTCTCAACCTCACCTCAGCTCACTCACCTCTTCCTCACCCTATCCTGTCCTGTCCTGTCCTGTCCTGTCCTGTCCCATACACATCTCTCGTCTTCATCTCTTCCTCTCTCTCTCTCTCTCTCTCTCTCTCTCTCTCTCTCTCTCTCTCTCTCTAGGCGTCGGGATTTCTGAGTGCTCCCACTCCTTCATCTTCCTTTTCTCATTCTTAACCTTCCACTTCCCTTTCCATTCCTCCTGCGCGCGTCTGCGAGCTTGCATCTCTCTCCACCCTCTCTCTCTCTCTCCTAGCGTTTGGCTATAGTGCTGCTGTCAGGAGGCAGAAGCAGAAAAGTGAAAAAGAAAAAGAAGAATACCAGAACGAACGAACGGACGAAGGGAGCGAAAAAGAAAAGAAACAAAAGAGAAATATACTGGTCGAAAGCTCTCTCTTTTTTGCGTCGGTCTCCATTCAACCAATTTTTTTTCTTTTTTAATTCTCTACGTTTGCTTGCTAGTTTTGCTTGCTTGCTTTGCTTTGCTTTGCTTGGCTTGGACCAGACCAGACCAGACCAGACCAGCTATACAATCAAGATCAAACCTACGCTCGACTTCTTCTTCTTCCTCTCCTCCCTCTCTTCCTTTATACCTCTTCTCCCTCTTCAAGTCCTTTTTTTTTTTTCCCCGTCATCTCATTCCTCTTCATATCCCTCATCTTTTACCTTTTTTTCCCCCACCTTCACCTCTTGGGAACCTTTCTTTCTCTCCAGCTTCATTCTGCTTCCCGTACGTATTTCTCCTCTTCTCCCCCCCCCTCCCCTCCTCCTATTCTTTGCCTATTCTTTGTTGTCCTACCTACCTCTATCCTTCTCTCTCCCTCCATCCCATTTGTTCCCCCTCCGGACTGCTCCATTAGTGGCACATTCTCTGTCATTATCCAGTCGTAGTTCAATCCTCCCGTCGCTCACAACCGCTTCATCTTGTCCAGAAAACACTCGATCGAATCTCTCCTCCCCCCCCGGGTCTTATCCAAATATATATCTTCGCAAGTCGTCTCTCGTCGAGCCTGCCTGTATAATTGCCTTCTTCTGTCTGAGTTAGCAGCCTTTCCATTCGATATCTTTTCTTGCGCGATATATATCTATCCATCCATCCATCTATCCACCTATCCATCCATCAGCCCACAGTTTTCTTTTCCCTTCTACGCAATGGCTGAAAACGCCCCGTCCACCACTTCTTCTACCCTTCCTCCCCCTCCCCAACCCTCTGCAGGTGCCCCTGGTCAGCAACAGTTCGATGGGTCCCAGGGCAACGGGCAGGGAAATCCAGCACACATGCCTCCGCCCCCTCTTCCCCCCGTCGTGATCCCTCAGAACACCAATCCGATTCCAACTGCGATCACCTCTCCAATGTCCGGCAACATGATGTCCCCTACCAGCACTGGCGGCTTTGTCCGTCGAGCTGCTCCCGAACCAAACAAGCGCGCTCTGTATATAGGAGGCCTTGATGCTCGCGTCACCGAAGACATCTTGAGACAGATTTTTGAAACCACCGGGCACGTGCAGAGTGTCAAGATCATTCCCGACAAGAATGTAAGCAGCTACCACGGCTGTCACCGGACTTTCCGCCTCCCGTGCCCTTCACTGGACTCGCTAACATTTGTTTTTTTTTTTTTTTGTTTTCTTTTTTTTTTTTTTTTAATACCTTTTTTTCACCGTT